CCCCGTACCCCCCCCCCCCCCCCCAATTAATGCATCACAAATTAGGAAACTGATTTCCTTCTCTTTTTCCATTACCAATCGTAATTAGGTTTTTAAGTTTCTCTATCATTATATATAAAGTCTAGCTTCATATATCTCTTTCATCTAAGAGCCAAATATAGCTAGCAAGCTCTGTCCCACAGTTTGTTTCTTTTCCCGTTAGTTACTAAGCCGATCTTTCTCATTAATTACGGACTTAAAAGAATTAGAATCTCAAACTCATAAATTTCAATTTTCGATTCTTTTTCCATTAATTACTAATTCTAAATGGCAGGAGAATTGAGTCATAGTACTATTAACCCTTATCGTTGGACAATAAAACACCAAAAAAGCATCCTCCACGAGGATGAAAATCTGCCGGAGGACAAATTTTTCTTCCTATGTCGAATCCAAAAATTGCACCACAATTTCTATCTTGCAGCTGATGGTCGTTGGAGGTTTTATAATCGCACTCATTTCAACTATCATATAGTCAAAAAATTCTGTTTTGACATAGAGGACAAATTAGATATATGGGATAATATACATGCAATGCTTACATATTTACATGTTCCTCTGTTGTATCAACTAGACATGATACAGACATCGAGCTTAAGGCATTGTCGATCCTCCAAGAAAATCACGAAAGATCGAGAAGAATCCCAATCGTTGTGGACATAATCCATCGTATTCCTCAAGCTATTCCGAATCCTTACCAAAATTATTATGAGGATGAGTTGATAGAACAGGTCGCGGGCTTATCGTTGGAGGAGAGTCATGAGTTTGTGCCTGTTCCTGCATCGGCGTATGCAATTGAAGCACTGGAGAAGGTGAAGGTGGAAAAGATGATCAATATGGAGGAGAATTGTAGCATATGTTTTGATATGTTGATTTCAGAAGATATTATTGAAGTTACTCGCATGCCATGCAAGCACCTTTTTCATGGAGGTTGTATCGTTCAATGGCTTGAGAAAAATCATGTTTGTCCTTTGTGTCGCTTTAAGCTTCCTGTGGACAAAAATTAGGGCTTTTCTTTGTTTGATTTAGTGTCAGGTTGTATGTTTTTTTAATAACTAAATTTGCCCTATGATGGCCAAACGCTACCTTATCTTTGTTCCTTCTTGATCAATTTAGATGCAAAATCTTATTTAAATTATTCAATGATATACACCATTTCTGTTACGTAAGCGATGCTATTTGATTCGTGTTCTTTTCTCCACTTTGTCATATATATAGTAGTTAGTTAATATCCAACAAGTAGATTTTACATTCCTTAATTGATCCATATCCAATTTGATGCAAATATATATATATATATATATATATATATATATATATATATATATATATATATATATATATATATATATATATATATATATATA